AAAAATGCTTAATGCCAAGTAATGAGTTATAATTTTAGTGCAATAGTGAAGATCTGTTATTCTTCATCTTTTTAATACCTACAAACGACTGACATGTTCCACTTTAACTCATACTTTCAACTTGTGACCGTCAATTAATGGGTTAAATTTAACCTGATTAATATTAATCACATGCATGGATTATGTTTTGTTGGGAGTAAGGGAGTAGGGTGGGACCTAAGGCTTATGATATTTAAGGTAGATGAGACTGTGATCCCAGAAACCACAACTCTATATCGGTGATAATTAAGCTGCAATCCTTTAGTCCAGTCAGGCTTTTGTTACTCTGTTTCTAATTTAAACTTTGGATTAAAAAAAAAAGCCATTACGCAAAGCAAAACCTAATCTTTCACGAAATGGTCATTACAACTACATGCCTGGATGAAAGTGATATCCGCTCTAATAAGCGTGTGAAATCCACAGTGATTCCACACAGGAAGGGACATTTTCAGTTTTAAATCTGTGAGTTATAACACCACCACATCTTGTTTCCTTTTTTTCCTCTAACCTCTAGACCTCGTTTCTGAATGTAACTGTTCTTAACCTGAGACAAATATGTGTTTGAAGTTATTTATTTGAATGTGAAGCCCTGGTTGGCATTTGTGTTGTTTATGCGTAAGTTCCTGTAAGTAGTTATTAGTGTTTGTTTATTTATTTCAGTATGTGAGAGGGTGAACTTTACTGCCCTGACTTTACTCAAACGTATTTAGATATGTAAAGAAATATTTGACTGTAAAATATTTAGTGTATTATTCATACTTATGGCATGTTATTCTGCAGTATGCAGCAGCATTTTATTTTCCATAACTGTGGACTAAATCTGACAATTTGAGACTTTATTTTACATTTTGGTGTATTCATTATATCCACGTGTATGCTGTCAAGCTATGTTTTGATTGTTAGCACTTTCCATAAGCGGTCCACTATACACTTTAACATCCGCTCTCTGTGTTATGCCATGACTGTCAAGTGAACATTTGTCTATTTACTTGAATCTTTAAATGGATGGTAATTGGTGGATTTTATTTTTTGTCATATGAATCACAATAAAAATGGGAAATACTTTGATCTCTTTCTTATGTCCAGAGGATGGCATAGCCAGGATTTCTAGAAACTGTTATGCATTTTGAGATTGATAAGACCACGTGGAAATTTTCCACTCGATTGTAGTCCATCTTCAGTGACCAGGGATGGACACACGTCCGGATCTTATTTATACAGAATTTTTTCGTTGCACGGTAGAGATTTAGAGTTTCTAATCTGAGTTTGCAGAGGATGGTCCAAAAAACTGAAAATATCCAATGAGCAGCAGTTCTTTGAGCAGAAATGTGTTTTTGATGCCAAAGGTTAGAAAAACGTGGCCGGACTGCTTGGAGTACCACTTATTGTTACTCTATGCAGAAGAGCATCTCTGAATGTTAGGGCAGCAGAAGACCACACTGGGTACCAGCTAACAACAGGAAACTGAGTACAGTTCACATAGGCTCAGTGAAAGTGAACAATAGAAGATTGAGAAAATGTTACCTGATGTACTAAGTCTTAATTTCTGCTGTGACATTCAGTTTAGATTTTGGAATAAACAAAGTGAAAGCACGGATCCATCCAATCTTGTATCAGTGCTTCAGCCTGCTGGTGGTGATGTAATGATGTGAGTGATATTTCCTAATATTCCCTTAGTAGGAATAACCTACCTGAGCATTGTTGCTGACCACATCCATCTTTTTATGACCCCAGTGTGCCCATCTGTCCGACTGTGTGAAGCTATCGTGTCAATATGGACCAAGGTTTCCAGCACCTTGTTTAATCCATACCACGAAGAATTAAAGCAGATTTGATAGAAAACAGGGTCCAACCCAATAATGGCAAAGTGTACAAAATAAAATGGCCTGTGAGAGTTTAAAGCCAGCTTCTTTGTAACCTGTCAGAGTCATAATGTTTTGAGCATTTATAATGGAGCAAACATGATGACTCACTTTGTTTTGGGGATGAAATGTTCTGTCTCACAATGTTCCAGCTACTAATCAAATCTCTGGTTGCTGTGTTAGAGCTTAATAAGCCACGTTAAGCCTGTCTTCTCCAGTAAAACAGTGGCCTCCGGAATCAGTGAAAATTTTAACAATCAATTTTGTTGAATCAGTGTTAGCTGCTCAGATGTGCCCTTCCTTCCAGAAACTGTTTAAAATATGACTCTGGTACACTCCACTAATTCCAGGTAATAAGGAGCACACAGTTTCAAATATCACCACCCGTACTGCACCCTCTGTTGATTTTCTTAATGCAAAATTATGTGGTCATCCAATTAAAGGTGAAAGTTTTAAACCCCGGTAATTCTGGAGCTTAATGATCCCAGTCTTTCAAGACTTCAAATAAAACTGTATGCAGTTCACAATTAAAAAGTTTCCTCCAACCTTATTGTGAGCAACTTTGATAAAGGAGAGGGCTTCATGTGCGAAGTTAAGTAGATTTCCTATGGTAGTGTGGAATTATAATTAAAAGGAATCTCTTCTTTCAGTATCTTCTGATCAATATCGGTTTAAATGAAATTTAATTAACTATTAATGGCGCAGAAGAAGTAGACTTTTTCTTGTTCATGAAATTAAAGCTTTGGTTTTACATTTTTGGCAATATGTGCCTTCTTGCAAGAGAAGATCAATAAGAGAAAGGCATAAAGACTGGAAACTGCATCCATGAACTTCAGTAATTAGCTTTTTTTTTAAAATTCATTTATAAAATATGTAAAATTGACAAGTTTGGGACAGAGCTGTAACTTTTTTTTTTTTTACTGCTGCTAAGCAGGAAGGAGGCATATCTGTATTTTTTTCATATTTATTAGACAGGTGTTTAAGTGATATTGATCTTGTTTAAGCAAGAATAAAATTAACTCTTATTTTATGTCCTTTTTTCAAGGGGTCATTTTAAATAAAATCATTAAAAACTCTTTAAAGTATGTTAAAGTTGCCGTATAATCATCTTTCCTCACTATAAGGTTGCTGTGAGTTTGCATCTACCTCTGAACCCCAAATCTCCACCACGACCTCGTTAACTGTTCCTTGGTGTGACAGCTTTAGCCAAGCTTAAAATTAACTCTAGCTGTTTCATTTGGCTTGATTATCCCGCTTTCTTAATGTGGTGGAGATGCTGTGCTTAGATTGTAGGTGTAACTTCAAATGGGAACTGCTGCTCTTAAGACCTAACCAACGCTTACTAATTACCATAATGTCCTTTTCACTAGCTTTCAAGCCAAAAATTAAAACAACTGCAGCAACAACTGCACTTCTTTGAAATATTTGAGTCTGGTTTCCAAATCCAAATGCTCATAGTCTGTATACAGACCCAATGCTGCCAACCAAAGCATTAGCTCTTTGGCTAATAAAATGCTAGAACGTATCGAATAAGCTGTACCACACAGTGGGATGTATTGTTTTTTAGAAGTTCCAATAAAAACATTCCAAAAAGCACCAACCCCATAACATCAGGTAACAGGTATTCACTACAAGACAAGGCGGTAATTTTCATATCTCAAATTGGGAATTTAACATATCACTCTACAGGGGGTGAAGCTAGGCTGAAGTGCCTGTTGGCAAAAAGCAGAGGTTTTGACTTTACATGCACAGCTTCTACCTAATTTATTGAACTATGCTGTTTTAGTGACTGTTCCGAATTTCGGTCAAAAACCCTAAATGCTTCCAGGCCGGTTGCCGTACAACAGCGGTGATGAAAATCCTTGTAAAATTAGTTAAGACGGAGCTTTTAAGGAAAACAGAGTATGTGCTTTAATCCCTATGCAGTTTGCTTAGAGACCAAAGAGAAGAGTAGACAACGCCACTGTGAGCTTATTGAACCTAACTGTCAAAAATGTTAAAGTATTGTTGATTTTTATTTGGCCTTCAATACAATTAAATTCCATATTTTAATATGAAAGTCTTGAGGATCTGAAACCTGTTTCATCAAGTCTGCTTCTTGAATGGCTCCAAGGAAACAAATATATGTCAAAGGTTTTCAAACCTGAGCACACTGGACCAACGGTGTGTTGCTGTCCGTCCTACTGGTACACTGCAGAAGGTGTATGGAACAATGAAGGAGGTGTAGTCCCTCCAAAGTCTTCACTTCACCAAAAATCAGCAGCTAGATAGTTAAATCTTGTTCCAACAGGACCATGATACCAAACACACTTAACTAATTTTGGAATGAATAAAGCAGGCTAACATTAATCTTCTGAAATAGCCTTCCCAAAGCCTCAACTCTATTGAAAATTTGCGGACTACGCTTAAAAGCCGTGTCCGTGACAGGAAACCAACCAATTTAAAAAGAAGGGTGTTGAAGTTGAACCTTGGCTCCTGTTTTTTCAGCCTTCAAAGTTGCAGCTTGGGGTTTAGCAGCATATCATCAAGTTAGCGAAACCA